TGTAGGGATAAGTCCCACCCCTTAGGGGGCGTGTTCGCCTCAGGCTAAAGTTCTCCTATAAAATTGGTGAGCGTGCTCCCAGCGCTCTCTTCTGCTTTCCTGGTCTCCGCGGGAACAGTGGTTCTGTAAGTCTATTCCTCCATTAAAGCTGTCTATATTTTGACAATCTGTCTGCATTCGCTTACGCCGTTACATACAGTGACTGATTTGTGCTTGGTAGGAGGAAGGCACTTTGAAGCAATCAAGGCTGAGATTACAAATACATTTTTTTGCTATGTGGTAAATAATAACTAACCATTAAAGACCCTTTATCATTTTATTACTGTAGATAGCATACAAATCAAGTATGAAATAACTAAGATTTTAAATGGTTAAAAGAATGGGCTTCAGAGATGGCTCAGTGGTTAAGAGTATTTGCTGCTCTTGCAGAGGGCCAGAGTTAGTATCCCAGCACCCATGTGGTGGCACATATTTGTCCTTAACTTTTGTTCCAGGGGATCTGATACTCCTCTGGTGCCAGGTATACATGCAGGAAAAACATTCACACACAAAAGAATAAATGAAGATTTCAAAGAATTACTATATTGAGAAGTGTTTACCCTAAAGCAACCATATTCTGGATTTTCTAAGGCTAACCACCAGTTTTGTATTTCCTATAAATACCCTTTATCTGGGGCTCTCAGATCTCAGATCTCTTGATTTGAAATATGTACAAAGCTATAAAATTAAATGTTTTATGATTTTAAAAGATTAGCATTTTGGGACAATTGGGCAGTGGTACTTTAAGAGGCACGAAAACATTTTCACAGAGTAATAAATGGTTACTATAGTATCTCTGAATGAAAGTTAAGCAATGATAGGATACATGAGTACTTGCCTGGCAATTCGGTCATCCCTAATTTTAGCTCATTGCTAAGTCTAAGGCAGCAAGACTAACGAAAGCAAGACTGTATGTTCTGCACCTTAGCGTCTCTTAACAAAGGCTTTAGCTGGAAGTCAAGCAGCAAGAGTCCGCTACCTCAGCTTTGCTATCGAGGGTCACATTTCTAGTTGAAGTCAGATTAAACTTTGGAATCTTCAGTTGCATTCTAGATATTTGGAGCAGATATACAAGATTAGGCTCTGGCTTGTCATTTACACCTATGAGCAATCTAGCACTAGCATTTTAACAAAGTAAACAAGACTCACTATTCTTAGACTGGGATAAATAGCTTCATATTTAACAACAACAACAAAAATATATAGTACAGGACAGAGAACATGCAGGTATTCTTACTATAATAACTTTTATGATGAATGCTGAAATAAATATTTAACAGTAATTGGAAAATAGCTAACTTATATGGATTTCTCCTGCCCTCGCTATATACACTTAGTTTGGTCTATAAGGCAATTCTGTTCTATCTCTTGGTATTTGAACAACTAATATACAAAAGTATATTCCAGTGAGTTTGAAACTCATATGTGCTCAAATAATATGACATTAAATTGTACTTATCAAACATCCAGTGTATGATGTATGTGACAGGCTTATAGCACACTGTCTTTGAGAAGCTAACGTATTAATGAACTTTGAGAATCTTTATAGTGTCTTTGTGTATAAATTTTTCAGATTACTTTATAACAGACTTGGTGTGGGACAATTGTCTATATTCTGTCAATTATGTTTTAAGTAAATGCTGACTGGCCAGTAGCCAGGCAGGAAGTATAGGTGGGACAACCAGACAGAATTCTAGGAAGGAGGAAACCCATTCCTCCCCAGTCCTGTCCAGACATGGAAGAAGGAAGATATGACCTGCCCCACTGTAAAAGGTACCGAGTCATGTGGCTAACATATACTAGAATAATGGGCTAAAATAAGTTATAAGAGTTAATAAGAAGCTTGAACTAATAAGCCAATCAGTTTATCATTAATATAGACCTCTGTATGATTTCTCTGGGGCTAAACGGCTGTGGGACCTGGCGGGAGGACAGAAACAAGGCAGGACAGAAACCTCAACAACACAGACTGATTCTTTACAACAGTCTCAAGTATCAAACACATTCATTTTAAAACAAAAAATAAGCAAAAAGAACTATAAAAATCACTTAAAACAGCCTGTATTCTTGATTAAAATTAAGCCTAGAAGCCAAGGCTCTCAGCAAATTTCTTTACTGAAAGGGTAGCAAGACTAAAATCATACTCACTGAAAGAGTTAGCAAGATACTCTCTTTACAAATAAGAAGTGTACATACTAAAGAGGCTTTGAAGAATGAGGTGGATTTGGGGAAGATAGTTTTAACATTTTCAAGTAATTCTGTGTGCATATGGATGGAGAGTACAAGCATGAGGAGGAAGCCAAAAGTTGATACTGGGATGTCTTCCTCAATTGCTCCTCTATCTACCTTCAGTGTGGGGGAGCAGCAGAAGCCTTGAGTGCACATGTAAGGAATGGATGAAATCCTGAGTGATTGTATACTACCAACAAGGACCAATGCCTCAGACCCCTGGGAACTGGCCTTCTTTGGGCTAGGATCAGGAAACTGGCACTGTGCAAAAACTGCAGCTTCTTTCTTCTAGAGGACCACAATTTGAAAATGCTCCCCTAGCTGATGGCTGAGGTTCTGGGTTGTTGCCTAGTTGGTATTAGTACCGCTCCATCAGTGAGTACACAGCCTACCCAATTCCAACTTTTCTGTATATCATCTATCCTTCTTTCATTCCCTCAGTGTCCCAGGTAAGTTTCCATCAGAACAGCACTACCCCTTTTTTTTCTGCGTATTTATGTGTGCACATGTGTATGTAGAATTCCCTAAGTGTGTAGAGGTCACTGGTGTGCAGGTGTGGAAGCCCAAAGTTGATGTCAACTATCTTCCTTGGTCACTTTCCACCTTATATAATAGGGTCTCTTGGTAAATCCTGATTTCATCAATTCGAGTTAGCAAACTTGCCCTAGAGATCCTATCTCTGCCTTCTTAATGCTGGAATTACAGGTGGATGCCACATCTATTGGCTTTTATGAGATACCAGAAAACCCAACTGCATTCTTTATACATACCTGGCTTTATTCACTTAGTCATCTCCTGTGGTCCAGGAGATAAGGTCTCCTCACTGAACTTTACGTTTCCCCTGGGCTAGACTGTCAAGAGCCTTCAGGATCTCCACATCTTAGCACCTGGCTTTTTATGTAGGTGCTGGGGATCCAGAAGGTATGTCCTCCTGCTTGCATAAGCACTTCACCCACTAAGCTACCTCCCGATCCCTCTTCAATGCTCTTGAGTTCCACTAGCAAGTGATCCATAAGATCAAAGAATTCTGTATAATGCAGTTGAATAGCAAAGAAAGTCTAAGTTGCTTGTTCCCTGAACACTAAGAAATTACAAATGAACTGATAAGGGGGTTAGAAGCTAAGGGAATGAGAGAACATGAATTCAGACAACTCAATTTGTTACTTTCTTGATTGGATAGTCCTTTAATTATTTATATCTATGAGCAATAATGAAATAGCTGGGCAGGAAAACAACGTATGAATCACGAAGAGGAAGCTGAGTTGGCAGGCTAGCATTTATCACTTTAGATGGCTATCAAAATCCTTTGTGAGACTCAAACGCTGAGAGTACTGGCTGATGTTTCTTTCTATGACTCAGCAGAGTACTCTCCTGTGCTCTCCTGAAGCAGGAGGAAAACATCAAGGGCATGACAGTGTGAGCAGCCACAATCCTTGAATAGTTCACTTAGACGGCTTAAGTCATATTCATAATAGCTAGTGAACAAAGTGGCAATATTTCCTTACACAGGAACTTTTGAGGAGAGGATTTGGCCTCATGGAAGTGCATAGATCCATCTGCTTTTGTACTTTATACTTCATAATTTAAAATAAAATAAACAGGATTTAAAGAACTGAAGAGGTCATGCATAACATATCATACTTAAAGTAAAACCAAACAAACAACTTTGCTTCTGTTTGATAGTCTTTCTGTCATACAGAATTCCAATGCAAAATTCTAATATTAGTATTATGCATCTTGAGAGACAGCTGAAATGAGTTTACAAAAATTAAATCATATTAATTTCTACTAGTAATCTAGTTGACTTGGGAGTAACTTAGATTTGTAGTTTCTTCCATTTACAGGTGTACTGAAACTTTTTTTTAAATAATGGCTACTTTAAGACAGTTCTCCATCATAAGGTTCCAGCAACTTACCACATCATCAGAAGGCACACTGTTGGATAAAATGTCCACCTGAAGAGATACAGTATCCACAATACTTTTCCTTCTAGAAAGTCGATCTTCATCTGAAATAAAAAGTTTTCTTCTATTATTCGTTAGTCAGAAATGTTATGCTGCATTTAAAACACATAAATATGTAAAACTGCAAGAAAATGTAGAAAGCTGAGTTTGGGGTTTATGTTCTTTCTAAACATTTAAAGCAGTGTGTTCTCAACTTTCAACCTATTTTACTTAAATTGCAAAGTAATTTTTTTTGTTCATTCCTAGGGTGCAGTACAATGTTGGGCCTGCATACAATGTGGAATGATCAAAGGTTGATCAGCACAACCATCCTTAAAAACATACCATTGCTTTGTAGTAAGAACACTTAGAATCATCCAATTTAATTTTAAAATTGTTTCGTATTGTGTGTGTGCCTATGTGCCAATACCTATACTGTGGTGCACATAAGGAGGTCAGAGCACAACTTAAAAGAACCAGTTCTGTACTTCTATAGCGTGCATTCTGCATAAGGAACTCAGGTCATCAGGCTTGGCAGCAAGTACAATTACCTGCTGAGCCATCTTGCCAGCCTTAAGTCCTCTTTTAGCTAATCTGAAATAAATGAAGTTTCTAATGATAGTCACCTTGTTGTGCAGTAAAACATCAGAATTTAATTTTCCTGTGTGACTGGAGGTAGTCATATGGTATTTGTCATGCACCCCAAATGTTCCCTAGATTCACCCATGCTGATACAGATGTGAAAACTGTTGGTTTTTCAGTTGTACTGCACTGTGAATGGACATCACCGTCAGGCTGCTGGCACCTCAGCTGTTTCTGTTCATTTGTGAGTACTCAATGCTGCAGGGAACATGTGTGCAGACATCTCAAACACTGATTTCAATTACTCTGGGAGTGCTCACAAGTGGGACTGAGACACTATTTGGTAGTTATATTTTCAGTACTATGAGAAAAAAAAATCGTGTTTTTCAAAGTGTCTATAATAATTTACAGTATCACAAATCATGCGAGCCATCAATGTATAAAGGCTCATTTCTGGGCACTTTTGATACTTGTTATCTTTTACTTCTGTGGTAGAAGCAAACCTAAGAGGTGATAAGATGGCATCTTGCTCTGGTGTTATTTCTTTATGATGATTATAGATATAAGGTTGAAAGTTTTTCGCATAACTCTGGACCTTCTTTATGCTTCTTTTAAGCACTAATAGCAAAGTACAGGCTATGAAAATAGCTAATAACCACAGTTATATAAGGAGAAAGGAAAGAGCAGCATGCATCCCAGTGCACAGAATCAGAGGCTTATCCAACCCCTGATGGAATGGATCAGGACAACTATCAGACACTGTGATAGTGTGTACCTTTTTGGAAGTGCTCATTCTCAAGAAAACACTATGAAACAGTTGCCTACTGATCTGAACGCCTCGGTCCTACAGAACACAGTCCCTCTCTCTGACTTCCAGAACCAGGTGAGTTCTCTCTCTCCGAACTTCACAAGGGAGAGGGTGTGGAAAGCACAGCTCACAATGCTTGCTCTGTGCTGCAGATGACACTTAGAAGTGGTAACAATAGCCAAAGTGGGCCCTTCTCTACTATCATCAAGGGATCTCCTTGGTCAATAACACTCTGGGCTAAAGCAGGCACCCCGGGAGACACTCTACAAATACCAGTGAAGCTCCACCAGACTCAGCACCATTGTTTCTCTTCTGAATGTCAAGTTAGTATCTCTAACTTCTAATTCATCATTACAGAAGTACAGGGATAACCTTCTAATGTGTCTTCCTAAGGTGCCTAGTAGAAGTGTTTCTGAAGTACAGAACTTTCCATCCTAGTTATGACTTATAAACAGCCATATAAGCCTACTGACCAATGTATAGCTCCCTAAGATTTCTGTGTCACTACAAATACATAATTATGATGTATGTATAAGAGAGATAGATATGGAAGAGGCTGCACACATTGGGTTGACTGTCTAATTACCCAATGAGAGTAATGTCAAGACACCTTCACAAGTAGTCTCACTAGGGAAGCCTTTGTTTAGAGCACCAGTAAGCACAGAGTTACTTTAGAATTTAGCAACCATGCACTGTGATTTCATTCCACATCCTAATCATCCCCTTTAAGAAATTCTACAAGAGCCCCACTGGTTGTCATACTAGAACCTAATTATACAATGATTCAAACTTCTGCCCTACATTTATAATATTAACAAAGTCCTTCAACCACCTATGTTTTGTGGTTCAGGAGAAACCATACTTAAAAAGGAAATACTGAAACCTTGCTTTATGAAAATCAGAACCTTTACCTAGCTAGCTTGCTCTGGCTTCTGCTTGCACAGAGCTGGAACACTAGAGCTACTCATAAATTACTTCATGGGACAGTTACTGCTACTCCAGATAAAGCACTGTCTAGTCACTGTACAGTGGTATTTAGTACACACTGATGCATTCACTATTCAATCAAATTCTAGCTTGTTTAAAAAGAAAAATGCAATACATGCTTAGCTAATACTTGCTTAGACACCAGTGGTTCATCAATTTCAGGCAGATCACCATTCTTTCTCTAGAACTTGCTGTTCCATTTGTTCATCTGGCTTGGTCATGAGAATGTAACCCTTGAAAACAGTGACCACACCTTAACTTCTTCCCAGTATCACCTTCTTCAATGCCTAACATACAGGAGGCCTGATCAGTTAAGAAAAAATCCAAACCAGCAATCCTCCTACCTGACCTGGGTGCTAGGATTACTAGCATATGACACCATATCCGGCCTTCTGCTAATGTCTTAGTATTTTCATTCTCTCAATAAACAGGGAAATAAAAATGCGGTCTCTATCACTTTGCAGTCAAATGCTTTACCACTGAGCTATATCCCTTGCTGTCAGGTCTTGGAGTGGTACATGGGTTAGTCTCATAGTCATACGACTCAAATAAAAGAAAGATGTTGATTACTGCTCACAGCTGACATCAATTATTCTGAATGCATGCGAAATCTTTGATCTCATTGAAAATTGTGAAATCAAATAAATTATTAAGTATTTAAAAGAGCATAGAGACAGCTAAACTTAGTGTGCCATTTAATCAAATTACTTATTATCAACCTCACTTCTCATGCATAGAGAAGAAAATGCTACATTCTTCATTAGGCTAGTGTAAGGATTAAGTAGGAATAGAAACACAGTGTTCTCAATGCTAGGCCCAAAATATGACAAATGGAGCTAATATTATAGTGGTGGTGGGTGGTGCATGCTAGCCAACACACTAAATAAATTTTGCTTTTTAAAAAAAGATTTATTTATTATGTATATAGTGTTCTGCCTGCATCTACACCTGCATACCAGAAGAGGGCACCAGATCTCGTTGTGGGTCACTAGGTGGTTGCTGGGAATTGAACTCAGGACCTCTGGAAGAGCAGTCAGTGCTCTTAACCTGTGAGCCATCTCTCCAGTAATATATTTTGCTTTTACTTTTGTTTTATTGTTCTTAACTGCTCATAATTTTAAAAAATCAACAGTAGAAAGTTACTACACAGGAAAAAAGGTAATAACTATGTATAACCGAATATCACATAAAATAACACTCTTGGGACTCCTGCATGAGACAAGTTCCACACAACAGACTAATTTAAAAACATCATTCCTTATAAATCAGGAAAGTTTACCTGCACTTAGGAATTTCTATCCAGACATAAAATTAATTATGCCCTGAAATATTCAGACTCCTCCTAGCTTGGGAAAAAGAGACACTGAGGAAAAAAAATGGAGCTTGTCTGACGGAGAAGGAATTAAAAAGAGCCAAAGCACACGTGAAAATACACACTGTAATTCTCACCACAAACTACAGAGATGTCAGCAGGGAGAAGGAGAGAGAATAAAGTACATAAGGGATAAGGACATACAACAGAGTTAACAGCTAATGACGGGCAGAAGACACAGCCTATGGCTCCAGTTTCTAAACATCCAGGGAGTGGCTTTCCTACAGGAAGGGCAGGCTTGGGACAGGGCAGGCTACACTACACCAGGTGGAGTTACCTTTGCGTTTCTGCCTGGGTTTAGGAGGCTTTGGGACTGAAGAAAAGATAGCTAAATCCAAAGTATAATTGTTTAATATTTTAAATGCTTAATACCCCCCAAAAGAAACAAAACTAAATCACAGAGTTCTGAGGTGGTTTATTTATTTATTTATTTTTGTTTTATTGTTGTTATTTTGTTACTTTTTTTTTTTTTTTTTTTTGGCGAAGTTCTTACTATGTCGCCTAGGTTGGCCAAAACTTGCTATGTAGCCCAGGTTAGTTTCAGATTGGTAAAAGCTATATATAAAGATTACACTACTTTTGGTAATTAATACATAAAATTATCTGACTAGAATCAAATAGTTCTTTTTATATAATAGAGATATCTATCTTAAAAGGAAACTATTTCTTCCACCAAGGTAACATTCATATATATACATTAACTGAATATCAGAGTGAATGAAACTGATTTTTAATTTTTAGAACAAAAATTAAATGCTAGATATCATGCAATTTATCTTCAAATACAGTGGCATTATTTTTAAAAACAGAAAAAAATACACATTAATTAATATACAAGAAATTGGCAGGTTACTTTTCAGAAATGGTCTGCAGTCTTCCAAATGACAAATGTGCAACAGTATTGTTCAATGACAAAAAGTTTCACTTTGCTTCACTGTTTAAGAAATATTAAAGTTAAAATACATGAAGAAATAATAGATTAAAAATAACAGGAAAGCTGACCTCTTGATTTCCTTATGGTAAATTCCTATCAGTCGTTCCTATATCTACAGCTTTAGAGAAAGGTTCCTAAAGCAGTATTTAAAAGTAGAAAACATTTAAAATAGCTTTAAAAAAAAGAAAAACAAACCAACAAAATCAAAACAACTAATGAGGGGCTGGGAGCTGGCTCATGGCTAAAAGCACTAACTGCTCTGCAGAGGGCCTGAGCTCCGTTCCCGGCACCCACAAAGGTTCTAAAGCTGCCTTCTTGCCAGCATGAGCACTGTACAAACATGGTACACATGGAGGCACAACACTTACACACATACAATACAAAGTCACCTTTAAAAAGTAAGCCATGGTATATTAGTATAGCCACAAACCTCATTGCACTCCTCATTGCACGGCAGGACGTTTTTACTGAACATACCTGTCACCTGTGGCACATAAGGAACCGAGAGCCTCTCCACACTGTACCCACTTCCACCAAGGGACTCTGCAATTTTGTTGGTCAGAAAATATAAACTTTTGTCGTGCTTCTCTAACGATTTCGGAAGCCTGTCAAGTTGATAAAAACAACAATCATTAGATATTGATTCCTGAGCAACAACTTCTACAGTAAAAGTCTCAATATTTTAGACAGAAGTACAAGTTACTTGGGGATGAAAAACAAGCCTATGTGCTTTGTAACCAAGTCTAGGTTGTTAGGGCTCTTTCCCCAATCAGACTTCACTAGTAAACTTAGCCCTGTAACTCTGCTAATGTCTGGACATTATTGGACATTATAAGACGAAGAATACTAGACTCAGTCTTTAATTTTCACACTAAGCAAAATGTAACGAGAGAGAAAACACAGCTGAGTGTGAATGTAAAGCCCAGGACCAGCATGGTGACAGACAAGCCAGACCAGTCACAAGAGGTGCTCTCTCTTTCCCCACTGTGGTCATTACCCTTGCTTTCAATGCTGAGCTTCCTGTCTTAGAGCCCAAAGTGTGAAGAAAGGGTTATCAGCGTGCATTTATTTTCCTGTGGAATAGCAGGAAGAAGGTACAGCATATGAATTTGCTTTTGTTTCTGTACCACAATTTTACATGTTGTTATGTTACCAGAAATCTTTAACAAGAAAACTGTACTGTTACAAGACAGCTCATTTATATGAGCACCCAGAGCAAAATGTTATAATTAAGAAATATATTATCACATTTTAAAAGGGGATAAATTTTGCATTTTCAGGTCTATATGCATATCTACAACTATAGAAACAAAGTATCATGTAAGAGAAAAGGTTCTATGATTAAATGCCAGTAATGCCAAAATTACTGTAATGATAAACCTAGAACAATAGTTACTCCTTTGTAATTATTATTGACTCGTCTCTCTATGGTCAACCCTTCCATCAATTATAAAGAATGTGCATACATGCACTTATCTCTGAAAATATGCTCTGGTAGAAAATAAGGGGCTTCCATAGTTCGAGTTTCAATAACCTGAAAGCAAGCAAACACAAAACAAAAGTGAAATTAAAAATCTTTTTCTTAAGACCCTGTAGTGAACATTTACAAAATACAAGAGCAAAACCAAAAAGAAACCTTTAAGCATTTACATGAAACACCACCCTTCTATTTTCACATGATACTAAAAATTCAACAGCTATTAAAAGTTTAATAATAAAGTATACAAGGCAGTAAAAAATGATGTGTTATATTTGCTAAAACACCCTAAGAAGAAACAGAGCACACATTTTCTTAAGTAGCCGAGCAACGCAGACCTCTTTTAGAACTCTCACAAGCTCTCCACTGTGTGCTCAGTAGTGCTCAGAGCTCAGTGCCCTGGGGTGCAGTTGGGGTGTCTCAATAAAGGGTCTGCACCATTCTGACAATACACAATGCATAAGTGAGTTTTAAATGAATGAGTTTTGCTCTTATGAATGCACCCAAAACCTACATTTTAGCATGATGTACTTTAAGATCTCATGAAAACAGGGTTCTTTGACAAAGGCTTTCAATTGCGGCATATTTCTGCCACATTAAGGACTCTGAAATATGTATGAAATCATGTTAGTAACTGGAATGACCACTGAAAAAAATTAAACACCGCTGAGAGGTAATAAAATTTAAAAAAGGAGCATTAATCTTTCAACTCCAGCTCTGCCTTATACAACATAAACAAACAACATTTAACTGAAGAAAGCTTAAGATAACAAGTCACAACTGCTCAGTAGAAAGGAGAGAAAACTGTATTCTATTCAACAATGACCTCAAAAACTGTAACAACCAAAACAGACAATATCAACTGTACTTTTGTACCTCATGTTTCTTCAGAATTATCATAATCTTACTTGCAGAATTATCCTAATTATATATATATTTACATATATATGTATACTTAAATTACATATAATTATTAAAATATATGTATTTATATAAATATATATAGATGTCTGTGTGTATAAGTATATATGTGTGTGTATATGTTAGAAAAAAAATGACTATTCAGAAATTAGCTGATTTTACACAAAACTCAAGCTAGGAACTTCTCTAGGTCTCTCACCTTGCTAACATGCTGGCAGAATGCTGGAACGGCTATCATCTGACTCACAAAGTTGAGATATGCTGCAACCAGTGCCATGATTCCACACCGATGAAACATTGGCAGGTTATCTTCATTGATAATCGCGCTGTCCTTCAGTAGAAAATAAATTTGAAAGATCAGGTTCTTATACTCCATCAGCATATTCATAGTGATTACACTGGAAAACCGAAGAAAGTTTAGATAGCTGAAAAAAACACACACGCATGTGTGTGTGCGCACGCGTACTACACGTCCTTTTATTATATAACAACTCCAACTAAACAGTGCCACACCTATAATAATTATTTTAGTGACCACCCTATCCACTGGATGGAAGTAAAGGTACAGGACGGCTGTTTTCATCATCTGCTGCAAGGTCTTGAATGGCTCTTAGCACAGAGTTGCTCACTTTAATTGAATATGCAACCAAAAACCCTGCTACTCAAAATTCATGGTCTTGAATATCATATCTCTCTACAAGTGATATTTAATTCACTAAAAAGAATTTTTTCTTTAGTGGAAAGTTATAAAGCATACCTGTAAAGCAATGGCCAATCGAATGAGGTCAATAACCACCTCTTCATTGGCTAGTTCGATAGTTATAAGAGCCAGGGATGTATAAAGGAGCTCATAGTTTTTCTGAACATTGTCTTCCTCTTTGCAGCCCAGATATATGTGCCTATATAGCTGCTGCCCATTCTGAAAGATACAGAAAAAAGATACTTCTGTGTGTTAACAACGTAGCATAAAAAAGAGCAATGACTGCACAAAGTAAACGGGTGTTCTCTAGTGCATCTGCATCATTTGAAGTTATTTCTCAAGAATCCCTGATATGGACTGCCACGGGGAAATGGGTATTGCACAGCATAATGCACGCACAAGCATGGTTGCACAGCATTGTTTGAGGAAGCCCAACAGGAACCAGCCCAAATGACTGCCAACAAATAACTTGCATTATCTTACAACACACATTGTAATAGCAATACACATAAGATGAATTTTACCAAAACACCACTAAACTGAAAAAAATTAAATATAAAATAACATATTTTATTGTTCTTTTCATTCAGCATACAAAAACTAACAAAACTGGATAACATTATAAAAATTCCAAACAGTAATTTCCTCTAAGAAAGAGTATGGACTTTAAAAAGAGGGATGCTTTTAGTTCACTTTAAAATAAGTAAAAAAACAATGCATATGTATTTACATTTCAAAATAAACAGTAATTTTTTTCCTAAATTACATGAGCACTTTTGCAAGGTGAGAATTGTGGACTGGACTGTGGTAGGAAACAAAATGGGAGCAGCTGTTTTCCATATAAGGCTCAGGAGGAATGGGAAATAAAAGATGCTTCCCAGTTTAAGGGATAAGGCTTCTCTGATGGAAAATCAGTTTCAGAATTTAGGATGCTTCCAAAATATCGGCTGGACTGTCCTAGGTTCCGTACACTACGAGGCACAAATGCCTGACACACAAGGTTGGCAGTAAGCACTGTCCATGCTGATGAATCTGTTCTCTTCCACATAGGAATATAGAATAAGAGTTTTGATTTTTATATTTTGAGAAAGTTCTGTAAATTTCCAGTTAAGGTATCACATGAAAGCCAAACAAAATAAATAGAAAGGTAAATGAAAAAGTGTGACAAATTATCAAAATAAATTTCAAAACCGGGAAAATGTGAATAGATTGCTTCTAAATTAGATACAATTAAGAATGGTGTACACTAAAAGAACTCAGCAGGCTGCATTCCGTGTGCTTGTGTGCACGTGATAGCAATAATTAAAGATGCCATGAACTTGCAAGGAAGAGGAGGGAACATCAGGAGCTGGAGCAGGAAAGGGAGGGGAAGAAATGATATAAATACAACACTTGGGCATGAAAGAGGTATAAAAAAAGGGGCTACCAGGTAAGTCATTTAAAACTTTTAAATCAAAGCATAATTACAAGAGAACATCTTAAAAGATAGCAGACCTGGCATGGTCCAACAGCCTGATGGCTCACAGAAGCTAAAGTCTAGTGGAAAGAAGCATTGCTTCTATGACTATTGAAACAAAAAAAATGAACCCAGATTTAGTGTTTAAGGACATTTATGACCATCATATACTATAAAAAAAAATCTCTCCAAATTATCAACTGAGTTTTCAAAACTCAATCATGCTTAAAAATTCCTTAGCATTTGGGACAAATTTGATAAATGGGTAATACTGAGAAATACTCAAAACCAAGAAATAAAAGAAATAAAACCTTACTTCCTTGTTTCTGGAATACAATAAAGATAAACTCAAAAGAATTATGTTTACTGAAGGAATCTGATTAATTAATCAATGTTAAACTGAAGCACATCATCAACATAATGACAAAGAAAGAAACACTAAAGATGGTGATAGAACGAAATGTCCTGCTCAAGTTTTGCATGACTAGTAAAATACACAAGAAGGCTGATCAATTTACAGGACACCAGTTTCCTAAATTCACCCATGTGTTAAAGGTAGACATAATGCCTAACTCATTTCCCAAAGAGTATACAGAAAAACACCTAACAAGCAACAAACTCCAGTACATTTCTGTCTACATAAAAGCTGCTTAAGAAAAACCAGTATGCATATTTGGTTCACAGGGAGGGCAGAGCAGGAATTCCCCTCAAATGGAGAAATTCAAAACAACTGTGCAACCTAGCAATCTTACATCCAAACACAGGCTCAAGGAGTCACAGTTGGTACTGTGGTCATATAAGGCAGGCTGAAGTTGGCAGTGAGAGGTCTTTCACTCCAAATTCTATGGCTTCTCTTTAAGCCCACAGATCAATATAAAACCGTCTGACATTTAAAGGGCTATAAGATACATTTCAGACACTCTTTAAAAAAAGATGACCTTACCTTTTTCATGAAGCTTGTATCTTGTCTACAAATTTTTTCTCTTTTTATCTTTAAGTCAGCCACATCTGGTATAATTCTAGAAACAATATATCAACAATTTTAAACGAATAGCACGTTTGGCTATAAGACATATTTTGGCTATAAAGACATTTGAACTCAGTCGGTCACATCTACGTTTTAAATGTTTATATGAAATGATATTACTTGATTACCATGCTTAACTAAGAATCATATCATCTTCATCCATAGTGCTATTCTTAGGCGTAAAGTAAGACTAAAACAAAACAGTTTTTAATTAATATAAGTAATAATTTCTAGATCAGCACTCTGTAGAGCACACTGAATGAGAGTCCATCACGTTATTTTAAAACATATTAAAAAATCATTTTGATACCAATTAAACATCCCACACAGACACGGGCATGCACACAAGCACAATTCAGCACGGTGACTGAGAAAACCAAGAGCTCTCAGGAAGCACAGCGAGTCACCTAATGCCGCGGAGCTTTGCCCGATTGTCATGGCGATCCATGAGGTTGTGCATTACTTCCAAGACCAACTGCCTCAGCTCATAATCTTCCATGAGGGATGGCGATAACAGAGGGTCCAGAAACGACCCGGGCAGAGCAGTAACAATTGTCTTGGCTTTGTATCCAGAAGTCACCTGATTACAAGGGGAAAATCAACAATGTTATCATGAGTCCTTCTTAGGCAAAATTCTCACAGTATTTTTTTTAATCATAAATTTAAGAAATCAGAAATTATGGGCAAAGTCTGAGGAAATATATAAAGGAAATCTGTATGGTAGCCAGGATTTTAGCATTTTAAGAGCATTATTTATAACAAGAATAAGATGATCATCACACATCTGGTATGTGGGCCCACATGAGGCAGGTTACTCAGAAAACCAGGGCATGGGCAGGGTGTATCACACAAGGACATGGGACAGATACAGGGAGAGCAGGTGGAAAGTCTGACCCTGTAAGCTATTGTTTTAAAGAAAACCACTGGGAACAGTAATACATTTTCAGTTTGGAAAATTGTATTTTGCTACTCGATTTGACATTCATGGTAATATTTAAACTTCTCCAATTTTTAAATTTTGAAGGAGAATATACTTAAGTACTATTAAACATTTAAAACCCACCAAAGAAGAATGCACAAAGCTGACTTATGGTATAATTAGTATAAAAAGTATGGTGGTATATTAATATTTGTAAAATTTGTTTCCTATAAAGAATTAGAGTCAAACCTTAGAAAATTTTATAAGGAAAGTGAATCAACAGTGTTTATGTCATTGGTATATAAAGATGTTACTTTAAGTTAGACACAACAAATAAAAAGGACAAGTAGGAAAGGATTGATAAATATTGCTGTAGCTCAATTTAAAATCCTATATAACAAGCACCAGGAAGAGAATTAAAACTGAAACCAGAATCTTCTGTACCTGAGTATGAAACAAAGAGTGTAATAACACTTACAAAAAAGGTCTCTCAAATGAACTTAGAACGGACTGGCTGGAAGGGTACACATTTCAAAGACCCAGTCTCTACTGTGTCCTTGACATGATCCCCGGAGTTAAACAAAAATGAAGAATGGACACACCATGACACATCAACATGGATAGGAGAAATCGCACAAAGCCGCACCCCCAGAAGAAGAGCTACAGGGAATTAAAGACTATTGAGAGAGGGAGAATAATCTTCCCCAGAGACAAACCCCTAGTTGTCATACCTAAAACCAACAATAAATGGACTCAGCAAGTTGCAGTTACGCGCATATTTGCATACATATATAACAGTAATAATTAGAGAATTTTAAAACACGCAGAGGAGGGGGAAATTGTATAATTCAAAGGTAAGAAAGAAAAAAAATGAGTGTATTTAGCATATAGTACCAGAGGACCTCTGTTGTGCTTTTTTTTGTTTTTCTTTTCTGTATCTATTCCCACTCTAATATAAAATGACAAGTAATCACTAACAAGAAGCCACTGTCTGAACAGAATGTAGAAGGCACTATGGGTTTTCCTATCTGAATTCTATTGTGTAGCTCAGTGACCCTGGATCTCTTCAATTATTTCCATCTAACTTCTTTGAGCATAGGTATCTCTACCGACAAGATGGAAGTTGTTTCTGCCTTCTGTGAGCTTGATCATAATAAAGATCAAACAAAATGACAGGACAGGCAAGCACTGAGAGATGAAGAATGGCAGAACAGAGGATAAAGGGAGAGATACTCAAGTGAACAAACCACAGAGAAAAGCAGCAGAGTCTGAAGCTGGAGGTGACAAACTCTTTTTAGTATTTAAGGGATGCTCCCCTCACTTCTATCAAACTCCTTACCATAAGCAAAGATCTCAGCAACATTATCTGAATCCTCCTGGTTCCCAAATCTCTGAAATATATGAAGTATTGGTATTAGTAATTTACATTTATTTATATTAACTTCATCTACATAAATATCTTTTTCTTGACTTAAAAACTTTATTCTTATTGGCTAAATATTTTATTTATTTTTATAACTGCTTATGCCATGACTCACTTTATACACCAAAATAAATCTCATATTTATTAAAATAAATAAATGTTAAAAAATTTAAACAAGAAAAGTCAAGCTATTGGGTATTCAAGAACAAACTGATGTGTTGATACAAAGATTAAATCCTCCAAGTACAAGACATGGTGACCCACTAATGTATGAAAATGCCAACTGTCCTCTGTGAACAGGGATTACATTTGGAGATCGAAATGCAAAGTTCACATATCTGTATATCATATTTTGCACACATACATCAATTTCTCATATTCTTCATCATAAAAGGATAGAACTACAATAATTATAAGAAGAAAATATCCTTTAGTTGACTTTTACTCCTTGTGCCATTGATAACCAGCCCCCTTTCTATTTATCTATTTATTAGTTCTTCTGCCACCACTCTTACCCACCTACTGCTAAGGAAGCATGTTCACCCATGACACTTATAGTCCTAGTCTACTTTCTCCGCTGACGGTGCCTTTTTTGCACTTATTTGACTATACTGAATGATGGCTATGGTATGCTAAACATGTATAAATATGCAGTAATCCAATCGGTACTCAGTATTTCCATCTCCTTAAAAGTTTAAAGACATTTTTTGATGAAAATCTAATTGTTTTATATATATATTTATATTTATAAGACATGAGATTATTTTAACATATTAGCTAATGTTTTAGCATATTACCAAATCAAATCTATAAAGAGGGAACATTACCATCCCAAGTCATTATTCCTGATTCTCATTAACAATGGTTTTTTTTTTTTTTTTTTTTTTTTTTTTTTTTTTT